TCTTCGGAGCTGCCGGGGTCTATGATGACCTCTTTGGAGCCCTCTGCTGATTTAAACGACCCGGTTACTTTCTCGGCGTCGGGCGCCTCTTCGGTGACCTTTTCCCTGAGCGCACCGTTCGTTGCATGGCCGCAGCATTCGACCTCGCATTCGTAGGCCCGCTGGAAGGAGGCGCCGACGGTGATAATCCCATGGGGTCCCGGTAGTTTTAGTTTGAGGTACGTGTAGTTGGGAACGGCCATAAACTTCGCATAGCATGGTCGTCCTAAGATGGCATGGAAAGTTCCGGGGAACCCTACCACGTCAAAGGTGAGGGTTTCAGTCCTATAATTGGACCAATCCCCAAAAGTGACGGACAGATCGATCTGCCCGAGTGGTATGGCCTGTTTGCCAGGTACGACGCCATGGAAGGGCGCTCGGATGGGGTAGAGGTTCGTCCGGTCGAGACCCATCTCGTCGAGTGTTTTGGCGTACATGATGTTGAGGCCGCTGCCCCCGTCCATCAGTACCTTTGCGAGTCGCTTTGGACCGACGATCGGGTCGACAACAAGCGGGTACCTTCCCGGGTGTGGGATGGTATCCGGATGGTCGGTCCGGTCGAAGGTTATGGCGGATTCCGACCACCGGAGGAAGGCCGGCGTGGCCGGTCCGGCTGTATAGACCTCGCGGCGCGCGACCTTCTGACGCCGCTTGGAGTCGTAGGCCGTTGATCCTCTAAAGATCATAAGGGCGCCGTTCGGAGTTGGGAAGGTTTCGTCCTTCTCCTCCTCATCGTCTGCGGTGGGGGCAGGTGCCTTCCCCGGCTCCCCCTTATTGGTGCTCCCGAGTAAGAACTTGCGCATGAGACCGCAGTCTTTGAGCAGGTGATTCACAGGGAAGGCGTGGTTCGGACACAGCCCCTCGAGCATTTTTTCGAAGTGGTTCGGAGTGCCCTCCGTGGGCTTCCGACTACCCTTGCGGTCGGCAGCGGCTGCGAGCGAATCGTCGCGCCGTTGCTTCTTGTTCTTCTTTTTGGCGGAACGGTTGGAGGCGCCTTCGCCGGCGTCCTCGTCCCGCTTGGCCTTGCCGTCGAGGCGATCGAAGATCGCTCTGACTGCCTCCTCCCCTGAGGCGTGACTGGTCGCGATGTCCAGGAGTTCCTTGGTTGTTCGCGGGCTTCTGCGTCCCAGTTTGTGAACTAAAGACTCGTAGGTTGTCCCTGATAATAAGGCTCCTATCACGTCGGCGTCGGCGACGTTGGGAAGCTCGTTGCACTGCCGTGAGAAGCGCCGGATGTACTCGCGGAGAGTCTCACCGGCCTTCTGACGGCAGTTCTTAAGGTCCCATGGGTTCCCGGGGCGTTTGTATGTGCCCTGGAAATTTCCCACAAAGATTTCCCTCAAATCCGCCCAACTGTGTATGGTGTTGGACGGTAGGTGCTCCAACCATGCTCGCGCCGAATCGGCTAAGAACAGTGGGAGGTTGCGAATAATGAAGTGGTCATCATTTGCGCCACCGGCTTGACAGGCAAGCCGATAGTCTTCGAGCCAGAGCCCGGGGTTAGTTTCACCGGAATATTTAGGAACGTTGGTGGGCGGTCGATACCTTGATGGGAAAGCGGCGTTGAGGATGTGTCGGCCGAAGGCTTGAGGTCCCGGGAGGCCGGGGCTCGGACTCCGGTCCTCGCCGCTGTCGTAGCGTCCGCCGCGCCGAGGGTGGTAGCCATGTCTGGCTCCTTTTCTTGAGTCGTTGTAGGCGCGCCTGCGGGCGTCGATGGTGCTGCGCGCGTCGTGGTTGTGGCCGAGGCGTTCATGCACCGGGACTGTAGCGTCTCGCCTGTCGCCTGGTGGCGTTTGGTGAACTGACGCATCTTTGGCGGGACGGACCGAGGGCGTGCGCTGGCTGGTGTCGAGCTCGCGTCGCCGAGACAACGAGCTCTCTGCCTGCTGTGCCGCCGCACGTTCGAGCAATGTGCGGATTTCTCGGCGGGCCCGGCGATCCTCGGATGTCGCGGCCTGTGGGAGACCGTGAAGTAAGGCCGTTGCGGCGGCGATGTTTTGGCTCGCCCGAGCGAAGTGTGGGAGAGCCCCGTCGTCGGTGAGGATCCTTTGGTGTACAGCCTGGGCAGTGGTGCGTGCGCGCCCACCATCTCCATGGCGTCTGATCTCTTTATTGACTTTCTCGTATTCTCGGGCAAGCTGTTGCCCGGCTTCAGCGATCTCCTCCCTTCGGGCTCTTAGCTGCTCCACCCCCACGTGGGGCGGGGCGGCTGCTCCTCTCTGGGTTGCCCCGGTGGGGTCAAATGCGGGGGTGGTCTCCTCCCCGGAGACGCTTTCGATGTGTCCCTCGGGGGTTTGCGTCACAAAGCATCCCCGGGAAGGACGATGGCTCCCGCTGCTGGAGTCGGAGCTAGAGGATGACTCTGGCTCTTCGGCGAGGAGTTTGTGGAGAGACTCCGTGTCGTGTTCAATCACCCCCACGAACTCGTTGTCCGCGGGCGTTAGAACCATGCGTAGTGCCAGAAGATGGCTCGCGGTCGCCGCGGTGTTGCGGAGACCGAACGGAAGCGCCATCGGGGCGCTCCGTACGTGTCGTTCCGGAGAGAGGTGTCTCTCACCAGAAGGTCGCGCCATGCTGTCGCCGTTGGCGATGGTGAGGCGATGTTGCTTCTCCCTGGACTCCCATGGTCCATGGGAGACGTCGAGCTGACGCCCAAGCCTCTCATGGTAATGGCCGTTGGAGGGAAGAGATTGGATGGCGGCGTGCGACCATGCCAAATCTCCTCTCCCCGTGATGATGAAATCCAGGCTCCCGAAACGCATGTGTACGCCTGGGACCCAGCTAATGTCGTGGTTAGCCATCCGCGGCCTGGTTTGGAACGCGCAAAGGCCCCTACCTGGCGCGCCAACTGTCGGTGTTTTGAACAAACACCGGCAAGTAAATTTGTAATTGATGTGCGTTAGGCCCGGATGGTGCGCTAAAGGACACAAGGGTTATACTAGTTCGGGCCGAATGTCCCTACGTCCAGTCTGTTGCTGCTCGTGTTATTAGCACCGAATGAGGTTCGTAGTAGGGGGTACAAACGGTTGGGAGAGGGAAAGACCCCAAGTCCCTGATGGAGTGATTGGAAGGACGCCAAGAGCTCTGCTGGAGCTTGGCCGTGTGGTGCGTGTGTGTGTGTTCAGAATCGATCCCCTTAGTGGGGAGCCCTGCCCTCCCTTTTATAGGTCAAGGGGGAGTAGGGTTTACAGACAAAGGAAAAGAGCACTAAGGGCGTAGAAGGTCCTTCGAGGGACCCGGGCCTTCCTTCTTCCCCACGCCTGACCTATCCATCATGGCAGGCCGTGTCAGGAGCGAGGTGACTGTAGATCGTCGTGGGCCGTGCCATGGCCACTGTTTAGCAAGTGGGTACGTCCCATCCCGCCCCTACGGGCGGCGTGTCGGACAGGATTTGCCGAGCCCCGACCCTGAGGGGGTCGGGTGGCGGGGTGACTGTTGGTTTGCCCTTGGAACATAGTGGTTGTCGTATGTCTGCGTCGGGTTCTTCGTCCGGAGGTTGCGGGCGGCGCCTACAATACTGTAGGATGAATAGCAGGTGCCCGCAACACTGTTCGGGCTCTGCCACGCCTGGAGAGGTCAGATGCTTGTCTCTGCCACATCCTGACGGTACCTCTCTGCAGGGGTGCAGGGCATGGCGTCTGTCGCTACGGTTTGACCCGAATGTCTTGTCTTTACCCTGTAGTCGCCATCATGAGGATGCGGGGTACGTTTCGTCAGGTGAGCTGAACCAGCCTCCGGATATCGGTTTAAGACGAGGTCCGTCAGTGGTCGTTGGATGAGGTAAAACCTAGCTTTTACCGTCGGGCGAAGCGGAGGTGTCCCTCGGCCGTCGGGCGGGGCCGAGCCCAGCCCTCGGGGGTCGGGCGAGGCGGAGTGTATCCTTGGGGGTCGGGTGAGTTGTTACCCAGCCGTCGGGTGAGGCGGAGTTGCCCTCCAGCCGTCGGGCGGGGCCGAGCCCAGCCCTCGGGGGTCGGGCGAGGCGGAGCAAGACTCCTGTTTGCTCGGGCAAGAGATACAGCCGCGCTCTCGGGAGTTTTTACCGTTCGATGGTGCATTGATTCCTCCTCTTTGGGGTACCCCGGTATTAGGTCCCCGACAAGGAGAATCCGAGGAATTTGTTCGAGCACCTACACAAGGATTGAAAAAAAAGATGTCTGGTAATCATTTCCCATGCAATGTTACAACCTCAATCTGCTCATCGGATAACGTGACCTAAATAAATATTTCAAGCAAGAATTAACACCAGAACATCATGCATAAACATTGTACATCTCAAGGTCGTCAGTGTTTGCATCTCTGTTCTAACGAAATATAAGAAACTAATTTAGTGTTGGAAAACTTACTTGACAGAACAAGGCAACGAATGATAGAACAGATGGCGGGAAACTCTGATCTCGTGCGGAGGCAGCAATCTGTCGCTGCCAGAATCAGCGTCTCGAAGTGCAGTATGAAGTCGAAACCTAGAACACCGGTCTGAAGTCGAAACCTGTAGGCCGCAGAGTTCTATTCTCGCGGGGGAGACACAGTCCACGGAGTCCTATTCTCGCGAGTGAGAAGCAGTCCGCAGGATCCCATCGTTGCCAGAAAACTAGGATTGGTTGGGATTTGGACGACAGGTACGTTGACGTGGCTTGTTTTCAAATATAGAAGAGGCAAAATAGCTAGACTGTTCTAGAGTCCTCTTCTTTTTATGACTTTTTTATTTTACATAATGTTAACAAGAAATTTGACTATTAATTTTAGATGAACTGTTGGGGTTGCTCTTACAAGAAATGGAGATTTATCCGACTGAAAGGCTAACTGCCTCTACTATGACGACCGTGGCCCCGTCCCCGTCGCCCATGTTGGCAACCTAGTGGCGTCCGGGCTTTTGCTGATTGCTGGTCGTGAGAGACCATCACGGATTCTGGTGTACAGCAAGTCAGCAGGGCCCACGAAGTAAAATCCATGCTGACCGTTCATCACTCCTTGGGCGTGCTTGTGCCAGGATTTTTGGCACTTCTGCTCACCGTCGTGCCGCCGTCGACGACGAGGTTGTGGCCGTTGACATACTTGGCGTCGTCGGACGCCAGGTAGAGAGCCGCCCTCGCGATGTCCTCCTCCTCCAGCTTCGTCCCGTACATCACGTTCAAGTCTATCTCCACCATCCGCTTAATCTCCTCGGCGCTTAATCCCCTCTCCGGATGCCACGAGGCGACGGTTGCCAGCGCCAGAGGCGTCGGGATGGCGTAGGGAGAGATGGCGTTGACGCGCACCCCGGAGGACGCCATCTCCGCCGCCACGGCACGCACCAGGCCGATCACCGTCGCCTTGGAGGCGCTGTACGCGATGGCGCCCATGCCGCCGCACAGACCGGTGGCGCTGGCGGTGCAGATGATGCTGCCGCGGCGGCGCGGCACCATGACGCGCGCGGCGTGCTTGAGCCCAGCCAGCACTCCGCGGGCGTTGACAGCCATCACGCGGTCGAAGTCGGCGAGGTCCACCGCGCCGAGCGGTGGCCACCCGGGGGAGCCCGTGATGCCGGCGTTGTTGAACATGACGTCGAGCTTCCCGTGCCGGGCCACCGCGAGGTCCACGGCGTCGGCGACCTGCGCCTCGTCGGTGACGTCACAGCGGGTGTAGCAGCACGCGTTGTCGGAGCCAAGCTCCGCGGCGACGGCGCGGCCAAGGTCGTCCTGGATGTCGGCGATGACTACCCTCGCCCCGTTTCGCACGAACTCGGCGGCGGTCGCCTTGCCGATGCCGCTCGCGCCCCCGGTGATGACGGCGATCTTTCCAGCCAGCCTACGAATCAACCGCACGTAGAAAAAAAAAGTGACTCCTCCGTGAGCAGTGAAAAAATTAAAGCTGAACAGAAGTGAGCACGGGGAGGGACTGAGGGAGTGGTGAACCTCTGAGTTTGAGAGCTGGAAGCCGAGGACAAGGCATGGACCAAGCCTGGACCAATGATCCTGCTCTTCTTCTCCCTGAAGCAAAACATACGTAGTTTGTTAGAGGAGCTCTAGCTCTAGCGCTGGTGGTCGTTGCATACAAATTAACCAGACTCTGATCGATCACAGCACGCACGCCTACCTGAGAATCACCTGCAAGGCTCTGCTGAACATCGTGCCTACTAACACAACTAAACAAGCAAGGGCAGTGAAGCTGGTTTAAATCACAGTTCAACCGCATGAAGAGGTTGCATTAAGAGGTTGGAAGTTAGTGGCATGACATGGCTATTGGTGGAGGAATGTCTTGCATGTTGAGAAAGAACTTGAGATGACGTGGAGGTTGGAAGTTAGTGGTATGGCATTGGCTATTAGTGGAAGATGATGTGTTGGGTTGTATATTGAGATAGAACTTGAGATGACGTGGATAGCTTGAATTAAGAGGTTGGAAGTTAGTGACATGACATTGCTATTAGTGGAAGATGATGTGGATGTCTTGCATGTTGAGATCGAACTTGAGATGACGTGGATAGCTTGCATTAAGAAGTTGGAAGTTGTGATATGACATGGCTGTTAGTAGAAAATAATGTTTATGTCTTGTATATTAAGATAGAACATATGTATTGGGGATTAGCTTTATAAGAGATATAGATTGTGTAGGAATTTCATAGGACGTGTTCAATTCACAGACGCAGGAACATAAAATTTTCCTTGTATTCCAATCAGGCCGTAAAATACGGAAGAGGGGCACATTGTCTTTTCTGTTTTGTTGCACATTGTTCGGCGGGCTGTTTCACAGCCGCTGTGGCTGCTGCAGGCTGCATTCTTACTCACAAGTTACTGCAAAATTGTACCGGTTACAGCCAGTCAGCAGCAAAAAACTTTGATAAAAACTAAGACCATTTTTTGTTTTTTTTTCTGTTTTGTTTATCTTTTTACAAACTAAGGCCATCTTTTCGGTGGAGGGTTTCGTGGTCGTATTCAAGATAGGTATATATCATCTATAAACTCACGGTTGTTGAGGTATGAAATAATGCCTCCAATGAAGAGTTTTATGTCATGTTTTCATGAGAAAAATCCTTTCTTGGCTCTAAAAAAAGCTCTGACTTCCTTCCTTCATCATCTTTTAGATTTGAAGTTTCCTATTTGGCTCGAAATCCAACTTTCCTTTCTTACATGGCCCCTCTCTCAGATTTGGTCACTAATGGTGTTAAGTGTGGGACAAAATGATGATTTTACCCCTAGACGAATAGATAGGTTCAGTTTTAAAATTTTTTTATTTTAAGGATTGTTGAGACTATTTTTGCATGTTTGAAAGATAACGTTGGAAGTTGCTGCTGATCCTAACAATGACGAAGAGGAGTTATTGGCCATTACAAAACAAGCAGTCATGGGTAAGTCCCAGAAGAATGAGAGTTGGAGGTTTTCTAGATGGCAAGGAAGTATTGATTGTCCCATTCGTTTGAGCTACTTTTCAGCCATGGAACCAGCATAAACATCAGCATAAGTCAAAATTCAGCATAAACGAACAGGACCGATGCTATTGTGGCAATTTTTCTAGTTTCATCAGCGACAATTTGACCCATGCATGGTTGCTCAAAAATCAGAATTGTTCAAAAGCCTATCCAAGTAAAGATATATAGCAGATGGTGGTCTTATGTCTTGCACCAAGGAATGAGCCAACTGTGAGTGGTACTACCAGAGTAATACTTTTATGTGTGTTTGTGGACATACATCTATATTGTGTACTTCGCAAAAAAAAAAAAAAAAAAAAGAATGGCTAGAAAAGAAGGTGAGGTGCTCACAGACATAGGATTTGCATACGTCCATTTATAGAGATATGTGTGCGTTTATAAGAGTAAGTGCAATGCGTGTTTGTTGGCACTTGTATCTATATTGTGTAATTCAAAAAGGAAATAAAAGAGAGCTTAAAAATAAGTGTGGAGAGTATTCCTTAGAGCTTATGGTGGATTGATGTGTAAACTGGTTTAATTTCCACCATAATCCGCCCAACATATGTGGATTGAAATGGATACAAGTACAACCAAACAAGTCTTCTAGTGACAAAAAAAAAAACACCATCCACCCCAAGACCGTCAAACCCCTAAGTTCTACAATTTATTATAGTGTTATCCTAAGTGCTAAATAGTAAATAGTTTGTCACCCGTTGTTTAGCGTTAAAACATTGAGACGGTGTTTAACGGAGTTACTGTCTAAATGGTTTTGTATAAGAACTCTAGAATATACATAAGTGAAATATGCTAGAAACTATACATATCTACACATGTAAAAAATAAGTATGCTACCAAATATTAAAAAAAAAGAAAACTACATCCTACAACACCTCATATACATATGATATTAATTAGTTTGGTGCCAAATGTGGTAATTGTAATTCTCTTATTGACTAAATGGTGAATTAAATGTCTGTTTAGCTCATTTAATCACATTTAACTCGATTATGTTTAGACAGTTTTTAACGGTTTAAACGGTTCAACTGTTTAATTCACCATATAGGTTCTAAACGACACGAGTGGTCTTCGTTTACGGTTTAAACATTGTTTAAACGGACTGAGCGGTCGATTTGGCGAATAATGGTTATTATTAGCTGTTAACACCGTACCAATTCTTCAATATATTAAAGTCATTGTTCAACCACACTAACAAGATAAGGAAGTCAACTCACAATGCACGATACAATTCATTAATTAAGCAAGAAAAGTATCATCAGAAATGGCGACAAGCTGGACTGTTAATGTCCAATGCAAAACAATGCAAGTTATTCCGAAAAGAAAATCCCTATGGAATCCATCGGTCCGATTCTCCTCACTGTGGCGTTGTGGGCATGTGTTGGCACTTTGCTAGCCGTGAACCCGCCATCGAGGATCGAGCCTGTTCGTTTGGCTGTGGCTCGTTGTAAACGATCGTAAATTTCCAGCCGGAACAATATTTTTCTCTCTCACAAACCAGTCAGCAGTACTTTTTTACAGATCAGCAACGAAACGAACCAGCCAACCGAATAGGCTGGAGATTGTGGCCGTTCACGTACTTGGCCTCGTCAGACGCCAGGAACAGCGCCGCCCTGGCCACGTCCTGCACCTCCAGCACCGGGGCCATCCATCTAGTTCATGTGTCCTCACGATGCGCTGGCGCTCCTCGTCGCTCCTCCCGGGAAACCACACGGCCATGGCGTCCATCACCAGCGGCGTCGGGATGAAGTTGGGCGAGACGGCGTTCACGCGCACGCCGGGGCGGGTCAGCTCCCCCGCCGCGGCGCGCACGATCCCGAGCACCGCCGCCTTGGAGACGCTGTGGGGGCCATCGCCACGCCGCCGACCACGCCCGCGGTGCTGGCCGTGCAGATGATGCTGCCGCCGCGGCGGCGCGGGACCATGACGCGCGCGCGTTCACCGCCATGACGCGGTCGAAGTCGGTCGTCCAGGTCGACCGAGGCCAGCGGCGCCGGCGCCACGTCGCCGCTGACGCCTGCGTTGTTGAACACGACGTCGAGGCGGCCGTACCGCGCCACGGCGAGGTCGATGGCCGCGGCGACCTGCGCCTCGTCGGAGACGTCGCAGCGGGCGTAGCACGCGGCGTCTGGGCCGAGCTACGCGGCGGCGGCGTGGCCCAGGTCGTCCTGCATGTCGGCCAGGATCACCCTCGCGCCGTTCCTGACGAACTCTGTGGCGGTCGCCTTGCCAATCCCACTCGCGGCCCCCGTGATGACAGCTACGGAGAAGTGGTTGACGAAGGCGGACAAGGGTGCCTGCTGGGTCCTGCTCTTCCCCGTTACAACGCGCTGCATGGCTTGGAACATCCTGCCCAGTGCCACTCCGTGTGGTGGTAGCTTCTGCCTGAGATTCATCAGACGCAAGGATCAGAGCTCGCGCCTCTATTCTTAAGAAAGACCTCCTGGCAGCCAGTGCACTGCAGATGGACCCGTCAGGCGTCAGCGTCATCACTGTTGTTGCGTGCAGCCGCCCCGTTCGCTTAGGCCTGTTTGTTTTATAAGCCATATTTTTTTTTTGTCAACGAATAGTATTTTTCTCACGCACTAAATCAGTCACCAACAGTACTTTCAGTCATGGCTTATCAGCCAAACAAGCTCAAACAAACAAGATGAGTGTGTTCTGCTACCACCATGTTATAGTTTAGCTAATTCTTAGCAATATGTCTAACTAACAACTATTTCACTGGCTAGCTGGACTACTAGCTAAGCTATATTAGTAGCTAACAGTAGGTGTGACCTGCTACTAGGTAGTTAACTATTAGCAGCTAATACCCTTAGGCCCTGTTTAGATGCGAATTTTTTGGCTTTTGGCTATTGTAGCACTTTTCGTTTGTATTTGGTAAAAATTGTCCAATTATGGACTATTTAGGCTTAAAAGTTTCGTCTCGCCAATTACGGGCAAACTGTACAATTAGTTATTCTTTTTACCTATATTTAATGCTCCATACATGTGCCGCATAATTTGATGTGACGGGGAATCTTGAAATTTTTTAGATTTTGGGTGGGATCTAAACAGGGCCCTGCTCTCCTCGGCACCAGCTGTACTATATAGGGACCGATATTTGTCATGCACCAGTATAATGTGAATATGTGATTGGTCGTGACTCGTGAGCTGATGTGAATAGCATACATATACAATTTTTTCTAGCATGAAAGCAACGATTCTGGAAAATCTATGAATAGAAAATACTAAGGAACAGGAACAGAGTCTGTTTAAGCATCAATCCTATCGGTTTTAAGAAGAACAATAAAACTACAAGATAGAATGTTTGAATGGAGTGTAAAAAAATACAGGATGCAAGAGAGTGACACAAAAAGAAGAAGAAAAAAATCATGAGAGTCAAACTCTTGGTGGAATTTCTCCAAAATTCCTATGAGACAAGCCATTCCATGGGGATATAGGATTTCGGTTCTTTAGAATTATTTATTATCTCTCTCTCTCTCTTTGTTGGAAACGGGGCATAAACTGGTGTGTCCTTGTTTAAATGCTGCTACAGTAAAAATTCCAAGCACTTGCCAAATTTATATTATGAGCACATGATTAGTGAGTGTTATTAATGTTAATTGATCTCAAACAATATTAACACACAATAAGAATGATTCAGATCTAGAAGAGTATAGTTACACAAATATGTACTATGATGATGGTGATGATTGTATATATAATAGCCAAACCAATCCAAAACATGAGTGGCGGCCTATTACTGACGGGTCTATGTAGAAAAAGAAGGCTTATTTTTACTTGAGACCTAGAATTTGAGTGTCGTCGACTAGGCCTATTTTTAATTAATAACCTATTTTAGGGTTTTTCTTTAAACTAACTCTTTTGATAGTGTCACATGGGGCGGTAAAACCGCGCTACCGCGTCGGTGCACATAGGGTGCAACAAAGTGCCACTTGGCACCTTAGATCCAGCTTGGCTTGTCAATGCCCCCCCCGCCGCCGCCAAGTCGCTTGGCGCACTAGCATTACCACGCCATCCCGCTTGGTGTGCCTAGGGCATATTAAGGGGGTCAGGCCAGGCCCTTCCTCTGCTTCCCCCATTTTCCTTCTTCTCTAATCTGAACCTTTTCAAGTCGTTGTGCGTAGAACCGCATCTTTGGAGCAAAATCCACCAAATTTGATTTAAGATTGGACCAAGCCTATTTAAATTCAACAACAATAGCTAGCTCATTATTATTGGTACAAGGAACAAATTAGCATGTTTACTAATCTAATATTAAAGAGCGATTTCTTCCTTCGGTCTCTAACTCTCTCCCAAATCTATCAGAAGCTAGATTCACACGTGTTCTTGGTTGCATAAGAAGCCAAACTCAGGTAGTGAGAACTTATATCACTCAAATAAACCCTCCTTAAAAAGTAACAAACTTCCCCAGCAACGCGCAGAGAATCGTCTAGTTAATACTATGAGCAAATAAATCCGGAACGCTAGCTCCTCTGACAAGAAGAGAGGTATTATATCGAACAACCGGATTGGAGCTCCCGGCTTGTTGGTGCGCCCGAGCCGGTGCTGAGCGTGTGGGCGTGGCGGCTGAGCATGGAGTCAAGGCGTTGCAGCTTGAGCTCCTGCCGGAACTGCCGGATGAACTGCTCCGCCCGCGCGTTCAACTCCGCCTTCCCTTCCACCGCGTAAACACGATCGCCGCGGCGGTGCTTCCGTTTCACAAACTCTGCCACCGTCGCCGGCTCCTCCTCCGGCGGTCCACGCACCAGCGCCGCCACTCTAGCTGTCTCCGCGGTGACCACGGCCACAGCCGCCGGAGCAGCTGGCGGTGGTGGTGGTGACGGCATCGGTTCCTGCGCATGGCGCCCCTCCTGGCCGAGCGCGCACGTCCCGTCCCCGTCGGAGCTTACCATGGACTTCACCGCCCCTGCGGCCGTTTCATCCTCTACGTTCCTGGACATCATCGAAATCGCCGCCACGGACGACGCAGGTTCCGGCACGGCCAACTGGCGATCAGGTGCCGCCCCGGCCCCGCTCACCTGATTCTGTTCCTCTGCTTCCGGGGATACGTAGTAGTAGCAGAGCTCTACGAACGGGTCCGTGGAGAACATGGCGGAGAAGGACCGGAGGCGGTCGAGGACCATGGACGACGCGCTGCGGCAGAGCTTCCTGCGCGTCGTCGACGCCGCACGGCCGCCCTGCTGGGCGCGGGACCGGGACGTGACCGCGATTGCTGCGACGAGCGCGTTCAAGAAGAGGAAGCACGCCACGCCAGGGCTGAGCCACCACGTCAAGTAGTCCAGTGCCATGGGCCGATGGACTGATGAGCAGCAGCTCGCTTGCTTGTTCTTCTGTTGCTGCGGTCTCTCAATGTCCTTCACCTTGGCTGTCTTTGCACTTAGCTATATTGATCCGTTGTCCAGTGGTCTGCACGGTTGACCACTTTATATAGCAGGCAGGCTTGCACAGTTACGCGGCTTCTTTCGGCTGCGATCGTGTCACCTTAAAAAAACGTGCAAATATTTGTGTTCCATCTACGCGTAGAGCATTGGATGCCAAAACAAATAAAGTTGCATTGGATGCATCAGCGTCGCTTTTGTTTGTTTCTCGCTTTTGGTCACGTCCCCGTGCATTGCATGTGCGGTTCGTGCAAGTGAATTCTGTGACATTCTTTTAGCCGAAGCTGCAGCCTGCGAGAAGATTCAGCCTGCGTGTTCACTGTCGTTTACTGCTTTTGGATGGTTAATTAACATGACTAGTCACCGGCCCGATCCTAGTCTAAACTAATAATTAATTAAGTATTGCATTGGTGGACTTCCTCGCGCGTGGAATTCTTTCTTCGTACGTCGTCGTGGTTTTGTGATTATCCAGGTACCTGCGGTATTTGTTGTTTGCCATTTTGCCATGTTCACTAGATACCATGAACATGATATTCTGTGGTCGACGACATCAGCAAAGCTGCTTGCAAGTGAAGGCTTGTTGGATGGCTGGCCGTCTCTCTCGGGGCGACTCTGACCGCTCCCCTTGGGGCGCCACCACATCACCCCTTCCACCCCCCGATTCGACGCCGGCGACGAGCCGTACCACGGCGGTCGAGGACCTTGTGGCTCTGCGTGACCGATGGCGGGCGAAAAACATCCTGGGGCCCTCCTCGATTTCTCCGACCTGGAGATGGAAGGGGAGAGATTACGAGTCGGATTTTCCGAAGATTGCCGAGGGCAGTCGTCGACGAGCGAAGGCGCGGGGCTTCGGTTTTCCAATCAACAATGAAGCGCCTGAAGTCAAACACGCGACGGCGAAGAACTCCTTTCTGTTCGAGGCGGTCGAGACCAGTTCGGTGAAAATCAAGCAGATCCCATTTGAGCTTCGTTGGCAGACTCATGGAGTTGCCAAGCAGAGGAACTTGGAGGCGGGAGGTAGAAGACAATCGAATCGCAAACTGGGCAACGTGGGGCCAACGAGTCAGCGACCGTGGTTCCGCTTACCACCTAAGGTGTGTATCGTCCCTGGTATCCTAGGGTTGGGACCGGAGGACAGGACACGCGACGATGATCGAGAGGGAGGTGAGCTGATGGGTAACGGTGACCCCGAGTCAGGGCACCTTTCATTGCTTCCCAATATTCACCATCCTGATTCAGATCCAATTCAGAGTGGGGGTGCAACCTCTTCCTCCCCTTCGAACCCCCAAATCCACGATTTCGTCTCACAATCTCGGTCGATTTGTTGGTCATTTGTGGAAGGGAGGTCCGACGAAATCCTTTGCAACAACAGTAAGAGCCGAGCCGGCTCAAACTGTTCAGGGGAGGATGAATCGCGGTGGCGGGCGCTGGAACCAACAGGCCTATGTGTGTGGCTCCTATGATAGAGGAGGCTATAGCTGAGGAAGGTTCGATGATGGTGGCTATGGGCATGGTAGAGGTGATGGCAGCTATGGAAGAGGTGGTGGCATTGGAAACTATGGAAGAGGAGGTAGAGATGATGGTTCCGGTAGAGGTGGACGGGATGGTGGTTTCGGGCGAGGTGGTTCTGGAGGTGGACGAGATGGCAGAGGGCGCAGCATCAACACCAATCGTGGTATGGTCTGGGAAAGACGCATCAATCAAGAGGAAGAGAACAAAGAAGGTGCAGTTGAGGCTGAGAATCAGATTCCTGATGAAGTAGAGGTGCCCGTGGGTCAGACTGCTGAGAAGGATGCTACAGCACAAGAACACCAAATTGCAGAGATGGAAAGCTCACAAAAGGATGCTGATGGAAAACAAGATGATGCTGCTAAACAGATGCTCAATGTACTTGATCAGCAAGGTGATGTTGCCCCAATTCCTATACCACCTAGAATAGCGTGAGATATGTGGGCTGTATAATCATGCAACCAGGGACTGTAGACGTCTGATCTATGAAATTTGTGGCATGAATAACCATATGTCATATGATTGCAAAAGATGTTTGCCATGGAACTTGGGTCCAGAGTTGTGTGTCGCCCAAGTTGAGGACCAAAGCTTTTTCTACATAGATGAGTTGGTGGATCCTAGAATAGCCAGAGAGAAAGATAGCACTACCATAATCTCCGTTATCAATGGTCAGGCCACTAGCAAACAGATAGAGAAAGAATTTATGGGTCTTGTGGGGGCTTCAACCTGGAGATGGACTGCTAGACAATTGAGTGAAGGTAGGTTTGTCATGAGATTTCCTAGTGCACAGATGGTACAAGAATGGAGTGGATTCAGGAGTTACCCCATGATAAATGTTGATGCTCAATTGAAAATTGCACCATGGTCCAATGTGGGGGCAAAATGGATGTTGCAACAAGCTTGGTTTAGGGTAAAGGATATCCCTACTGACCAAAGATCCATAAGAACAGTTGCTAAAGTCGGAGGCCTGGTTGGAAAGGTCTGGGAAATAGAAGAGAAAACAAGACTCAGACCTGAATTTGTGAGAATGAAGATTGCATGTAGGGACATTACAAAGGTTTCAAGAAAAGCTGAAGGGACCTTAGGCCTGGCAATACATGATTTTATCTTTGAAAGGGAGGTACAACAATCTGAAAGTGGGAGAATTCTTTCAAGTGGTATTAGAGTTGGTGAAAGTGACACTCAACCACCATCCAAGAAGCAAAAGGCTGAGTCTTCAAATGCAAAGAAACTGATTACTCCTACTGAACAACCCCTTCCTAATATCAGTGGTGCAAAAAATGGAAAGTAAGTTTGTGCCTCGGCTCCTCCAAAGTGTATGGTGAAACCAGCTTCCCCCTTGCTCATGGAGACAAATGCTAAAGGAATAGTGATTCATGATGATCAGAACGACAAATACACATTCCAAAAACTTTTGAAGATTCGGATGCTGAAAGCGAAACTTTGAGTGAGAAGATTAGAAAGATTGATGGATATGGTGACTTGGGATAAGGGAGCTCTAAACAACATGAATGGGGGATTCACACTAGCTCTGGTTTATGGAAAACCCAGCTGAGACAGAGACAATCAAGCAGATCATTCAGGAGAAGACTATTGCGAAGGATATTGTGGATACTCAAATGGATGAGGCTAAAGAAGAGAATGTTGTGATAAATACTCAAGAAAGCACAGTTACTGCTGTAGAAATAGCAAGCCAAGATGAAGAGCCAGGCAGAAATCAGGAATCTCTCCCTGAGATGAAAGTGCAAGAAGCCAAGGAAGACCAGCAAGTAAGAAGGCAAAGCGAAAGGCTGGAAAAGTGCATTCACCTCACAACTCAAGAAAGGAATGAAATCATGACAAAGAAGAGATATCTTGAAGGTAACTCAACACATTATGTTTCCTTCTCTTCTCTCAATTAACTAACAATGACATGTGTTCTATTGTTAAAAATATGGGTGTTGTGATCATTGATGATGATTTTGATACTTTTGATGTTGTTAAAGAGCTAGAACTTGCTAGGGCTAATTTGTATGAGAAACAACATATTAATAAACAAACTGACCAAACTGATGAAAATGTGGATATTGATGACCATGAAGAAACTCTTATGATTGAATGGCACCAAGATGAGTTTTCTGAGTCAGAAGATTTCATTAAATCTCTTTTTGAAAAAAGAAAAAAATATCAAAAGTGGCAACAAGAAAGTTAAAATCTCCCCAATAGGAAAAAAGTAAGACCAAGAAGATCTTGGCTTGCAAATCCTGGGTTCAGGGAGTATCTAAGGTACCCCTGAACACCAGGAAAAGAAAAAATTCAAAGAAAAACGATGACGATGCAAGGTTTAGTGTGGAATTGTAGAGGCATAAAAAAGAAATGTGTCACTACTATTCTAAAAAATCTAATTCAGGAATATCAATTTCATTTTGTGGGACTACAAGAGACTATGGTGCAAGATTGTGATGAGTCTATTTTAAGAAAATTTGATCCACACCAAGATTTCCTCTGGATGTGGAATCCCTCCAAAGGAAAGTCTGGTGGTATCCTGGTTGGGGTTAAAATTGATCTATATGATGTAGGCTCCTTCAAGCAAGGGGAGTTTGTGATCCAGTTAAACCTATGGGATAAAAATAATAAAATCAAATGGAATCTTCTGATTGTATATGGTGCTGCACAAGAAGAGAACAAGATGGCTTTCTTAACTGAGTTATCTAGATTCTGTGCAGCAAATACTAAGCCACTTTTGGTTGGAGGGGACTTTAATATCATTAGATATGTAAATGAGAAAAACACTATGGATGGAGCTCATAGACATACTAATATTTTCAATTCTTTGATTCACTTCTATGAGCTGAGAGAAATAGTCATGACTGGAGGGAAATATACATGGACAAATAATCAGGAATACCCCATTTTGGAAAAACTTGATAGGGTGTTGGTTACTAAGGAATGGGAGGACATTTTCTCACAAGCTTTAGTTAAAAAATTGCCTAGAGAGATATCTGATCATAATCCGTTAATTATATCATCTGGACAGTGTGAGAAACCTCCTAGTTCTCAATTCAAATTTGATTTAAATTGGTTGACAAACCCTGAATTATTTACAAATGTGGAAAGAATTTGGCTCAAACCATGTAGAGCCACAACACCTTTGGACAAAATTCAACAAAAACTTAAATTGTGTAAGCAATACTTTAAAGGCTGGGTTTAACCTTCAGGGAGAGCTAAAAAAGAAAAGGAAAGAAATTCAAGTTGAACTAGTGGACTTAGAAATCCTTGAAGAAAATGTGGGTTTGTCCATGGAACAGATGGAAAGGAAAATACGGCTGATGTGTGAAAATTTTAAACTCTTAGATCAAGAAGAAACTTACTGGTATGAGAGAAGCCATGAGACATGGTTGCTCCAAGGTGACAACAATACTACCTTTTTTCATAGGTGTGCCAATGGTAGGAAAATAAAGAATACAATAATTACTTTGGAAGATGAGGATCAAATCATTGAAGGTGACAAGAACCTACTGGAACATGCTACAAAATATTACTCTAAGCTATTTGGCCCTGAGCAAGAATTCCATGTGCAAATGGATCCAGAAGTCTGGACAGAGGCAACAAATGTTAATGACATGGACAATCACATTCTTTGTAAACCCTTTTATGAAGATGAGATAAAATATGCCCTGTTCCACATGGAAAAGAATAAAGCCGCAGGTCCAGATGAGATTCCAATTGAGTTTTACCAATGTTGTTGGAATATAATTAGAACTGATATTATGAATCTTTTTGATGATTTCTATCATGGGAAAGTTGACATTAGCAGATTAAATTATGGCATCATAACTTTGCTGCCCAAGGTGAAAGAAGCCAATAGAATTCAGCAATATAGACCTATCTGTCTCCTTAATTGTCTATACAAATTGATTACCAAGACCTTGACTATCAGATTTGAGAGCATTGCTGAGAAACTAATCCACAATAACCAAACAGCCTTTATGAAGGGTAGAAATATCATGTCTGGAATCTTATGCTTCCATGAAATTTTGCATGAAACTAAAAGAAGAAAAGAGGTTGGCATCATTTTGAAACTTGATTTGAGAAGGCATACGACAAAGTTAACTGGAAATTTACTGTTTGAATGTATGGAGAAAAGAGGCTTCAGTCAAAAATGGATTAACTGGATCAAACAAGTTGTCACTGGAGGAACTGTCAGTGTGAAGTTAAACAATACCATTGGACCGTATATAAAAAGCTACAAAGGTGTTAGACAAGGGGACCCCCTATCACCCATTCTTTTTAACCTGGTAGCTGATTGTTTAATTAGAATGGTCATTAAATCACAGCAAAATTGAATGTTCACTGGTTTGATAGAACACATTATTCCTCATGGAGTGGCCATACTGCAATATGCAGATGACACAATCATTTGTCTTAAACATGGGATGGAAGGAGCTATTAATATGAAATTTCTTTTGTACATGTATGAAATGCTGGCTGGTTTGAAAATAAATTTTAATAAAAGCGAAGTTATTATGATCAATGATGAGGAGAATTTGGGGCAAATATATGCTGATCTTTTCAATTGTCAAGTAGGGTTCTTCCCAATCAAGTACCTGGGCGTTCCTGTTAGACCAAATAGGCTACATGTCTGTGATTGGCTCCCTCTTTTAGAAAAAAGCAGTAAAAGGTTAGATGTTTGGAAGGGTGGCTGCATGTCTATTGCGGGCAGATCTACCTTGATTAGTGCTAGTCTTAACAATTCACCGATATATCATATGTCTGTCTATCTTTTGCCTAAAACTGTAGTTGGTAAATTAGACAAGATAAGGAGGATCTTTTTTTGGCAAGGAGGAAGGACAAAAAAGAAGTATCATTTGGTTAAGTGGGAAAAGATATGCAAAAGCAAGAAAAAAGGGGGCTTGGGGATTAAGAACTTGAGGAAAATGAACATCAGTCTCCTTTGCAAATGGTGGTGGAAGCTAGAAAAAGAAGAGGGTTTATGGCAAACAATTGTCAAACATAGATATTTTAGGAAGGACAATATCTATAGTGTTTCTCACAAGTTGAATGATTCTTCTATTTGGTATGACCTGTTAAAGATCAAAGATGTTTATTTACTGGGGAGAGTTGTTTGCATTAAAAATGGGTGTCAAACTAGATTCTGGAAAGATAAATGGCTATATCCTCAGCCTCTGTGTATTTCAGATCCTATCCTCTTTGAACTATGTGAATGCAAAGATGTCTCTGTTGAGAAAATTAGAAGTGGTGAGGTTCATATTACATTTAGGAGATGGCTTCCGATAGAATTAAGACGTAGATGGGAGGAAATTTGTTGTGATGCCTCTTCTTTTATTCTGGTAAATGAACCTGATAAAATCATTTGGACATTAGAAAAGAACCAGAAATTTTCTGTTAAGTCTACTTACAATGCTTTGACAAGTAATGACGCTGGAATATATCACAAAAAGGTTTGGAAAGGGAAGATACCTGCCAAGATAAAAAAGTTTTTTTGGTTAATGACTAATGACGCTATCCTTACTAAGGACAATCTCATTAAACGAAAGTGGAAAGGTGATCCTGTCTGTTATTTCTGTTCAAACCCTGAAAGTATACAACATCTCTTTTTTCAGTGCCCCGTGGCTAAAACCATCTGGGCAGTGGTGGCTAAATGTTTTGGTGCAGATACAATTCCCAGAAACCTGAATCAATGTTGGAGATGGTGTGATCAGTGGCTTCCCTTTGGGAAGAAATTTCATGTTTGCGGAGTTGCTGCTATTTTCTGGGCAATTTGGAAAGCGCGAAACAAGGCTTGTTTTGACAAAGTTGTCATCAAAAGCCCTTTAGACATTATATATCATGCCTGTGCGCTAATGACATATTGGGCAGGTCTGTATGGCGAAATGGACAGGGAACAATTCGTGGAGGGGATCAACACTATGCTGAAGATTGCAGAGAAGATTCTGAAGCGCAAGCGTGGAGATACTGAAGCTGAAGCTGCGAATAGTTTACAAGATGGCAACCCTGAGGGACAGGACGGGGCATCAGCTTAAAAGAAGGGAGTGTGGATTGCCTGAAGCTTTTGGTCGATGGATGAAGATGACTGTCGTCAGTTTCACTGGTTGTAGGAAGTTTATGTGTCTGGAGGGAATCCCCCTGCTACTGTCTTCTTTCGTGTTTTTTTTTCTGCTGAAGGTTTCTGAAGTTCTAGGCTTGTATGCGTAGGTCCTTAAGGTGTTGCTCTGAGCCAGAGCCTTAGTCTCCTTCTAGTTTAAACCCTGGATGCAGGTCAAACTGTTAGTTTGGTCATCTGTGCTCTGTCTAATCTGTCACAAACTCTGTATTTCCGTTAATTCCGTTTAATGGAAATGGGAACTTCTCGGTTGAAAAAAAAAATGATATTCTGTGGTCGTTTCCGAGTACTACTTAATTTATAAATTGCCTCTGATCTGTTGATTGGACGATTAAATTTTTTTGACCGTTCGTGTGTGCTGCTATACAATACTACATTTTTTGTTGACTGGAGGTAGGTAGTAGTAGATCGTCAGATTGTTGTAAGGATTCAGATTGGAAGTTCCAAAATAGGACAAGTCACACAAATATTAATTATTTCAGGTCCAAAAAACATGATCGTCTGGCCTTTTTTTTTCTCCACACATCTATATGAAATCACAAGATGTACCAGAAAATATGTTCGTACATTGCAACGAGACATATAATTTGTTACCCGATGCTAATGCCAACATAATAAGCTAGCTTTTGTTGTAGTTAATTGGATTTGGTCCAACCTTAAATCAAATAAATTTCAAGATCTGTAATAAATGGATGCCATAAAAGATTAATTCCAAATCGAAAATTGATATGAGATTGACATAACTTAAATAGATGGTTATTGTGTATATCTATTGTGAAATGAAGAAATGTGGAAGACAAGCCATATACATTCGCAAGCGCACTGTGACGTGAATGGGCTTGGCCAACGACATGAGTGATGTGGTGCCAACAAAATTTTGCAACTCCAAATTAAAAGTGAGAAGGGTGAGAGTGAGAGACCACGGACTGACGAAGAACGGACGATTTCTTTTAGAACGGCTGGTGGCACCACTACGCTATGTTCTTAACTAAGAACTCTAAACAAGTTTATTGTTTAGTAAATTTGATTTCTAATTTGAATTGGAGCATGTTTGTCTGATAATTATGGATATATATTAAACTATTAATAATATGGACTCGCGACATTTTTACCCATATATTTAAGGAAGCCACAGCTGTACCCAATCACATTTAAATTCAAATATCTGTTCTCGCACTCTTCTGATGAGGAGCAAACAAAATCAAATACTCTTATACATTGAGCAAACAAACCAAAACGATTGACCACCGACCACCGGGGAGCTACTGCGCGGTGGGCGATGCCGATGCTGCGCCAGCGCCGCGTCGGAGCGTGCGGGTGTAGTTGATGATGGAGTTGAGGCGCTCCAGCTTGAGATCCTCCCGGAACCTCCGGATGAACGACTCTGCCCGCGCGTTCAGCGCCGCCTTCCCCTCCAGTGCTTCCTCCGCTTCCCGCCTGCACGCAGGTGCGCGATGCTGCATGGTTGTTTCCGCCAACTTCTCCTCCTGGCTCTGGCTCTCAACGGCCGCAGTTGCCTCGTCGGCGCTGACAACGTCTACCGACGGCGGCTGCTGCAACGCCAGACTGTGAGCGGCCTCGTCGTCCGAGCTGGTGGACATGTCTTCTCCCGCTCCCGCCTCTTCCTTGGCGATCTTGGACGATGCGCCGTCTGCCTCAGGAGCTGCTACTGCCGCCGCAACAGGTGACCTCGCTGGTTCCGCAACGACGGCTGGTTGGTGCGGCTGCTCCAGCTCCTCTGCTTCCAGTTCCAGCTCGGGGGACGACGTGCTGTAGTACTCTTCCACGGGGACGGCGAACATGGAGAAGGAGCGGAGGCGGTCGAGGACCATGGACGACGCGCTCCGGCAGAGCCTCCGCGTGGACGCCGCCGCCGCGCGGCCACCTTGGTGGTGCCCGCGGGACGTGACCACGATGGCGCCGATGAGCACGTTGACGAAGAGGAAGAGCGCCGCGCCGGGGCTGATCCAAGACGACAGCGGCCACCCGGACAAGTACTCCACTGCCATTGATCGGTGATCAGCAGCCGCTCCTAGCTCGCTCGCCGCTGAGTTTTTTTGTGCGCTTAGGTATACTCAAAGCGCTCTGCAATAATGTGCACACCGCACAAGTGATAAGAGCAACATATATATACTGCAGTAAATAAGCAGGTTTCCACAGAGAGTACAAGTGACAAGCACCTTGTTGCTGTCGTGCTGTCTACATATATATAATAAAATAATAAGAAACAAATTAGGAAAGGTAACGCATGTGCAAGCTTGTGGCATCATGTGTTTGTGCTTGTCTACGCGTACAAAAGCCCTGGTTCAAGAAAGAGGCAACGTTGCTTTAGCAATAATCTACTACTTCCGCATCGTGCATGTGTAGATCGTGCAAGTGGGAGGAACGGACGAATTGAACTCCACTCTTTTTGCCCTAGCTGCAACCTGCAGCTTGCAAAGAAGATTCGCTCGGAGATTAACAACGGTTAATTTAACCTGCGTGTTCCTTTGTCATTTACTGGCTTTTGGATGTGTTTTAGACGAAGCAATGGCTGGCATGCATGATACTTATGTTCTCTGTCTTTTACCTAATTATTAGTGGATTATTCGTCGCAAGGAATCCTTTATTTTGTGTTGCTTTTTCTTTCTCTATATTTATATACCCATGCAGGTCAGTGTTGATGTATATGCTTAGTCCCTAAGCATAGGAAGGATATACACCCGAAATGTGGCCACAATCTCCTTCGTTCCTTTCTTGTTGGGGTCACGTCACCTTGCTTTTCTTAGTTATTTATTAATATTTTGATCATTTCATTCACTCGTATGAACGGTTAGATATTTAGGCAAATAGAGTCTATATATTTAATTTGAATCCATAAATTGGCAATATATTTGTGACAATAAGTATACGCACATGTGGTCTACTCGCAATTACAAAGATACTAAACATATTGATCAAATGAATGAACATACATAAGAACTAAAATTGTTGTAGTTTATACCAGAGATGGGATCAAATAATTCCTAAAATGCATAAGTAGAGGAACCAATAACCAACTCGACTTCAACTGTATCTAAGAATATTAAGCATGAATTATGTTCTAGCAAATGCAAACAGTCATGATAAAAGGTGTATGGAACACTCATAAGGTTGCAAGCTCAAATAGGTAAAAGTGGGTTTATAGTAATATAGTAACATAAATGCAATATACAACACAATGCAATCAAGTAAATTCAATTATATATAAAAGCTAGAGAATGCTTAGGAGCCTGCCGCGATACTCAGCGGGTGGTGTTGCGACTTCGGGTTAAGGCTCAACGTTGTTCTTAGGGGGTTCACCTCCTCGTGTACTTCCTCTCCTATACGATGCATACATGAATGAGTAAATGTAATGCTTATGCTTGGTATGAGATGCCTGAACGGTATGTGATCATGTATGAAAGCATATGAACCCACTAGGTACATAGAGTGTAGGTGCTTTAATTTAAAAGAAGTGTGCGCTGACTTGTGTCTCACAGACAGTCAACGGGGAACTGATGAATGCAGAGTTATCACAATGGGGAAGCACGCTCAGTGAGTTCCCAATCTTGCATCCTCTCTCTTTGCTGCCAGCGGCCAGGAACCATCATGTATGCCATAGGTTATTAGTATGACAATTATTATGCAAGATCAGATTAAAACTGGGTCCATACACCATGCATGTAATAAGGTGCCTGAGGTATGACTAGATGAGAAGTGTTCATCATAGTATCCACTAAGCACCAGGTAAGAATGGATTTATTTTCGCGATAGATGAGCACGGGGCATTGGCAACCATTTAGCGGCGACCAAGACTAAGGTAAGTCCTGCCCGACCTAAAGTTTTGGGCACAATCTGCCTCTGGATCCATATATGCTATGCATGTAGTAATGTTGCAAAACCAGATTAATAAATCTGACATAAGCTGGCAAAGATTGAAAAGAAATCATTATCAACTGATTTAATACACATGATTCGCAAAAAAAATAAAACTGATTTACTACACATGTTTCTACTTCACCAGTACATTTTTATGAGAGCCCACATATGGTACAACTGCCCGGCAACAAGAGTGGGATGCCGCAGTTTCCACGTAGCACAAAAACGAACATCGCAACCAAAATGGCATCAAAACTACGCCACACAAATTACAAATTGTAAAAGCCTTTGTGTAGACCAACACCCGCAGTTCGGCGGGCTGTCTATGAAATGAATGGATCTGTGCCGCTGTTATAATACAGAATTCTGTGCTCATTTCTCCATGTAGGCAGCAACCATTCTTCAGTTATATTGAGTGGTTTTGCTCCATGGTGAGCGCCTGTGTCCAAATCCAATACAAATGAGCAACGAATGCTTGGCCTGGTGGTCTCACACTTGTCAGACAGGTTTGTCTCAGACCCCCAGTATACAAAACAGTACACTGCTTGATGCTCAAATATCCTATGACCTTCCTGATAACAATGACAGAGGTGGCATGTATCTCCAAGGAGTGCTCCGGCATGTACGCAAGGTCTGCAGGGCAACAGTCACTTCTCAAGACTTTTCTTTTTATAAAGGTTCTCAAGGCTTATAAAAAGATAAAAGGTATATGACATGAAACAGCTAAAATAACGAATGTATTTTTGGTAGTCTAAATCCACTGCACTAATTAATTTTTGTAAGTCACTACAAACAAGGACAACTAATCCTTCAAGCACTGACAGATAGCAAGCAAATAAACAGACACTCCCTTCTTAAAGTCGACAATCTGTACCACTTATTGTATTGGCAACATTCTGCGTTTAGCTGCTAAGTCCATTTGCATTTTTTAGAAAAAAAAATAATGAAATATTACCTTTCTCACTTGCAGTTATTTGAAGTGTATCAACTGTAATGATTCCATCTGTTAATGGAAGCAGCTCAAGTTTGGCAGTGGTGCTTGAACGTGCAGGAACACACCTGTTAGCCACATTCACCACAGCTAAATGTTATTCGACGGTGTTTTGGAATATAAGTAGCTCAATCTCGAGTTGACTCTTTTAAGTAAACGAAAACAGGGAAGGGTCAATACCCTAGGGGCACTGCACTCTGCAACCACAGATGAGTACAGCCTGAAGCATTACTCATTCTGTTTCCTCCATTGTCACCTTCTTTTGGAGATCGAGCTAGGACAGAATTCAATCCTTGAAAGCCGATTCCATGTTTTCCCAATCCAGATCTTTTTGCTGACTGATTAACACCATCAAAAGAACCATTTGGGGTGACTGGATCTGAGTTTAAGGATACAACTGAAGAAGAACCAGATGCTTCAGGAGTAATGACAGTTAAATGATGTCATATTAGTAGCTTCGAGTGTTAATACCTGGAAGGAAATGATATATCATAGTCAAGGTGATAAATGGAGAATTTCTGTAACATAATTGAAGAGATACTGCAATAACCTGCACAAGGAGTTGAGGAACTCAAGCACCCAGACTTGGATTTCGTAAAGACAGTTCAGATGATACAGAGATCATAAGATCGCTAGCTGCAGAGGGTCGCCAGCTTGTTGCTTGCTTGAAAAAAAGTTTCGATTCTACAAAGATAAAAGGGCTGAATCAGAACTTTCCACTCCATTCATGTTTCACAGAATCTATTTGTTTTGTCAAATAATTGACCAACCCTTGGTATATGATTATTTAAAGTAGATTCAGTCATTGTTGGGAGTGACAAAGCCAGAGGTGCATGACTGTTGGTCTTCCGTTCCCTTGAGGACATGATTGCTGGCTTGAGAATAAAAGAGTGCTCCTCTCCCCTCCTAGAAAAATAACAAATAATGTAGAAATTTAAAACAATTGTCACATCCTTTAATACAAGCACACAACACTAAAGTGAATCTTGGATATGGAAACAAAAAATTTGTGGTAAAATGTGTCCAAAACATGTTGCGATATTTTGTTTACTTATTTTGCATCTGAAGCTGCTAAGTTTGGCATTTTCAAAGGGTAATAAATTTCTTATGGCTGAAATTATGTCATGATTCAAGTTTACATAAAGCTGCAATAGCAGGTAGATCATGAGCAGAATCAATGAGAAAAGTAGTATATACCTGAGTGCTAGATTTGGTAAGTTGTGATCATGCCCAACCTCAATACTAGCAATTGGTAATGACAAAGGGGCACCTCCTTTGGATGCCTCCTCAAATACGATAGTAATTGCATCAATGAACACAACTATATCTTTTGCATGAATAGGAGAAATGTTCTGCAACAGGAATTCATGATATAAACATTATCTTTGGAACATTAGTTTAGGAAATGAAACATGAATGGATGCTTTGATATATCTGACAACCTTTACTGAGACACAGAGAAGATTTTCCAAAGTACATTTTGCAGCAAAAGAATTAACCTCGATCGGTTGAATGATTTCAACTTTTCTCCGCCATCTTTTTCCCAGTAGATACACACCTTCTAGACCACAACGTACAGAATACCGTTCAGGTTCCAAAGGAACTCCTCTAAATGAAAGCTGCCCATCATTAATAATAGCAGGGGTTTTTGCAGGTTTTTCATGCATAAATTCTTGACTTTCAGATATTGATGGTGGTTTTACATTATTCGGTGTCTGAACAGAAGAGGGTGAAGGCATGGAGTAGCTTCTAAAGTTAAATATTTGAGACCCAGGAGCAGAATAAGAGTTGTGTGATACACTTGTATTGAGAGTAGGGGGTGCTAAAGAACGAGGCGGTAATGTACGATCTAAAGGGAGCACCCAACTCAGCAGCTCCCGACATGGATCATCATTACTGTCAGAAAGTCCATCCACAAGATTATCAAGCATATAATTAATTGGTGTACTTTTCTCAAACTGAAGAACTTCAAGCACAGGATCTTCCAGTTTTTTAACCCCAACATTCACTTGCAAAACAATCTGCATCCTTCCACCAGAGAAAATGATTGCTGAATCAGCATGCATTTAAACCACAGAGAATTGCAACAAACTACATGGCTGAATAGTTAATTAAATAGTAACACCACAAACTTCTTATAACAATTACCTTTTTACAAAAAAAAAAGTCATGCTTTTCTCTGTGGCTAATATATTAATGTATTCTGTAGTTACATAGAAGGATTCACATGGATTTTATGAAAATTAATTAATTAATTGAGTAGATTTCAGAAAATTACATTAAGGCTGCAAAAAAAATCACAAAACTACAAGAATTAATTTCACAAACGTACACTTCTTTTGACATTCTATATTGATAAACTAACCTTTTTAATAATAAACATTGCAAAACCAAACTTCTATTATGATACTGCATTGCATTAAGTACACATTACTTGTTTCATGTCGCAGATTACACATTTAAAGTTTCAAGCCCAAATGAAAATGCAGTTTCACGATATGGAATGGCAATAGATGCGAGTTCTGCAATATGAAATGAAAAAAAGAAGTACACAGCTGTGAAATAAATTCTAATTTCTAAGTGCAGTTTTTTTATATGCATGCAAATAGAACTGTATTGAAAAATTGGTTACAAGAAGTGTAATGTAGCTTTCTGAAATTTACTTTAATTAATTATAGAAGGCAATGTGATATTTAAAAGTTTTCAGGACACATCAGTAGCTATTTCCAATCTACAATAGCACTGGGTGCCAAGTTCTTTACATAGATGCCCTTATTAAGTGGAAAGATATATATATATATATATGAAAGCCATTTAGAGGAAATGTTGCCTAAAGAAACAAAAAGGACAATAGTCAAAATCTAAATGAATTTGGTAATTAACAATGCGTTGAATTTGAGTTAGTAGCAGATCTGAGTCGATTTTCAGGTAGGTGCCTGATGCCTGGATAAGCTTAGGTTGAAGCACAAAGCTTGCAGTTGTTTATGCAATGCCCATCAACACCCAGTGGTCATGCACTGCAAGAAGTTGTAGTACATGATGTCACACAGCAATTATAAGGGACCCTTCAAGACATACCACTATGTCTCCATTCTGCAGAGAATAACACTTCACAGTATCTCGAGCGACTCCCCCAGATGTGATACCATAAAAAATCCCTTTATCAGAAATGGTATTGTAAACATTACTCCTTGAGGTCTTACTATTTCCCTGGCTATCTGACCAGTCCTCTGCCGTCGTAGTTGCAGTTACTCTTTTCTTCGACCAGAGAGGTTCGTCTGGCTCTGCAATTCGGACAAAAAAATTGGATTCTCTGAATCTTTGCAACATATGTTCTATTTGCTGCTTATGATCTTCCATCTGAAGGAGAGATTGAGTCTCCAAAATATCATGTTCTGAAGGACAGCCTTCACCATTGAGTTCAACATCCTGATAGCCACTTTCTCCAGCTTCTCCATTATCATGACCATTTGCACTGACAGGGCTAGATTTACTTGTAGAGTTTTGCAAAGAATTTCCATTCTTAGACATCACTGCAGCAATTCTAAAGGGGGATATAACCTGCGTATCTTGCTTAGAAGCTGACAGGCACGCTACTATATGAACCTGCTCGCCTGATAACTGAACCAAGTCAATTCCAGAAAATACGTAACAAGATGCAATAGAACCAGAGTGTTTAACTAAAGTCACAACGAAAACACATTTACCAGGAACAAGGAAGGAACGGTCCAGAGCCTGCAACTGTACCATTTCTGAAATATCATTCCAACTTCCAGGAAGTGCCTCTGTAAGCAAATTGTAGATGTTACTAACTAGCAGAGATAATAAATGCTTTTACTAGCATCAAGTGTTCAGCGGATAATAAATGGTTGGCTGACACTTTCAATCTAAAACTAAGTTATGGTCAATAAGTTGATAGTAAAGAAAAAAAAGGCTGTATAACCTTACTTATGCAATGCAGACCAAGGATGAGGATAAGGAGTGATCACTTGGTTCATGAAAGATAAGTTCCGTCTGATGAATACAAAACATGAAGTGTTTATGATATATAACAAAAATGAGACAAGTCAAAGGCACTCAACTGTATGGAATTGTGATCCACCCTTCATCCTCCGCGACATCAGTATGTGTCCACGGCGGGACCGGACTTTTTGAATCTAGAGATGAAGGATCTCTGCTGATATTCCCGGAACCATTATTAGCATCTCCATCTTCACTGCAGGCGTAGGAGGGCTGGTGTGGATCATCTGCGATGAGACCCCCCCCAGTGTCATAGTTGGCTTTTGTAAGGAATCACCATGATCATCTTGCTCTGAAATTCTTGGCAACTCAGGTGCCGCAGGCTGCGAAGTTCGGTACAGGAAATTCATTTCTCAGTACTACTCGAGTTGCTTCCTGCAGAGCAAATAGATGCTGAGGGGTAAACGGACAACATCCACACCTTATTTGGGTAATTTGCAATTCAACATCACATGAAAACAGAGAACATTTTTAACACAGCATATTGAAGACCAGGACAGAATAGGCAATAACCGGATCATGGGTTGGACTAGGCTAACACAAGGCAGCAGCACCAAAACCACAAATAACTGATCAGAATAAAGATAAAGAATGAAAAATTTGGGTGCATTATGGTGAGAAATGTTTTGAACTTTTGGAACCACCATCAGTGTTACGTTTTTTTAATGGAATAATCAGTGTTACATTCTTCAAATTAGCTGAAATTAAACTGAAGTTATGTGGCAATTTCAAAGACTATGCTACAGCTCAGGGGCGGACCCAGTAAAGTACATGAGCGTACACATTTACATCCAATAATTTTTGCAAAACAAACGAAGTTAGTAGGCACAATACAGGCATATACACGTGTAACTGGATCAGATCCGAATGCAAATGGTAAGGTAGGGTTTGGGTGTTCGGTTTCACACAGTAGGAAGGGAGGGCAAGGGATGGGCGTACCTGGTGGTGCTCGTCGCCGGCGAAGGGCCCGAAGATGACCTGGGCACCTGGCGTGGCGTAGCGAGAGAGAGGGAAAAGGCCACGGTTGCTGACCGGGGTCCTTGTAGGTACGCTGGTGCAGACGTAACAGCGTTTCAGTACTAGCAAAGTGAAAGATAGCCTCGTATAGGCTCGTATCGTACCTAAGGTTGGAAGCTATATTCTCTCTTATAAATAAATGCAATAAAAGGCAAAAACAAACTAACTTATTTATGCTGTAGATATACAACAGGTTGATACAACTTACCCTGTTGGGGTCGGGTTTCCTTTCCCAAACGTAAACTATACAGCGGCAGTATTCGTCCCACGACACTAGATGCCAAGCTTCAGTGTTTTATAGATGTGGACGTTCAACATCTGTTGCATTTCTCCTGTTTCTGATGACAAGGTTCTCCACGATGTGTGAGGTAGGAGGTGTCACAATCGAGGCCAAGTGGCTAACCATAGTGCTCGTACGTCAAGGTCGAGTGATGTGCACCATAATCGAGGGATAACCTTTAGAGCTTTGAGAGGTTTCCACTACCGCTTTCATGGTGGCAGGACCCTCCTGGCTGTTGCCAGTGAGAACCCCCCCCTAACCTTTCCATCTTATTTCTTTTGTTTACCTTTTTCGAACCTCAAAACCTTTTGGCTAACTCAAAACATCTAAGCCTCCTCTGTACTACTGAATTCCATGCCAACTTGAGGTGAGAAACTAGGAGAAAACCCATCCCTACAGCAAACAAAATATTTAATTTGGTTGTCATATAATAAGCAACTAAAATATGTCTGACCGCATGGGGAGAAAGAAAAAAAGCATGGATTACACACCTCTTTTCTTCCATCTCATATATCCTGATTCTATTTTGTGATGAACGCAAGTTGATGTTTCTTTAATCAATTCCAACACGAGCTGACGTAGTAGAGGATGGCAAACAAATTAGGAGAATATTGATGCAATCTAAACACACATGGAGAGGAGTGCAGACATGCGAACATGTTCCTGACGACACAACACAAGCAGCAGCCGATCGCCGATGCCTCGCCTTTGTGCTCGCGGGAAAAGCTGATCGCCGACGCCGATGCCTCACCCTCGCGGCCTCGTTTGCGGGAAAAGCAGACAGAAATCGCGCCAAAACAGGGGAGCGATGGAGTTATTCTTGGGCCGAGGCCCAGATAACAGAGGAGCGCGGCAGCCAGACCTGCAGGCTCCGAGCGTATAAGTCAGCATTCGTTCGATCCGGAGCTGACAGCACAGATGTGCTGACTGCACGGCGCAGTCGATCGAGGTGAAGTTAGACGATCTCGTTCCGCTTGTGCTTGTCTACACCTTCTAGTAGCCCATTTCACCTGAAAAACTCTTGCGTGCAGCTTCTTTCTTCTCAGTTATTACAACTGAAAGATCGCACGTGACAAAGCGGTCATAGCCGCGCAGGGGCGGACCTAGGATTGGCCAAAGACCAGAGCCATTACATTAGGCATCAGTGCTAGTTGTGCTTGGCTATTGAAAAACTGATAACATGTCCACTGTAATTAAGGACTAAGACTAGGGCCATAGCCCTAGTGGCCCTAGTGCCAGGCCCGCCACTGTGAGCCACGGAAAAGTTGTGAATAAAGATACATCGGGAGCAACTCTGAGCCTGCACAAAATCTTCTTCATATAGGAGTTGGCGATTGCCGCCATCAAGATAAGTACTATGGCCTTGTTGAGCAAACCAAGAACACTAGAAATTCTCGTGACAAGCGGAGTGTATTCTACACTGCCAACTCGAGTGAAAACCACCTTCCAATGCTCAAACGTCGTGATGATAGATGAAACATGAATTCTATCAACCATGCATACAAGATATGATATTTAGCTCATCAATTCTATAGTCCTAACATCGATTTTAGGATTTAGGGTCATAGCAACCCAACAATGCAAGAATTCAAGAGTAGGATTGTGAATAGCATTGGTCCTCAGGGCAAAGCAGGAACTATGGCCCTGTTTGGGACCACTTATAATCGATTCTATTATAACCATCGTACCACGGGGACGTTTTTGATTCTCTGTTCTCGATTGTGCTAGTTCAAAGTTCTGAAACGATAATCAAAAGAATTAGAAATAATCAAAGCTTTGGCAAGATTCTTGATTTTTTTCACCGAGAATCGAATTATATATAAGCAGAAACAAACAAGTCCTATGTCCAATTATTTCAATCCAAAGCTATTCATGATCAAACTTGTAATCTCTGCATGGGCAGTACATGTAGCCTTCATCACTAGATTACGTATGACATAAGCTTTGGTCGTCTAGATAAAAAATTTGATGCCTTTCACAAATTGAAGGTCTGAAGAGGCGAGATGGTACATCTATCCTCAATCGATCTATGAATAGACAAAAGGTATGGTATTGGATTTAGTTGAAGTTAAACTTATGTATGCATAAATAAAAGAGGGGAGACATCATTTACATTTCATTTACATTTTGTTACAAAAATGCCCATATCCATCACCCAGTTTTTTAACAATGAATGTCCAATAATAATGAATTTCGAATCTCATAGCAACCCTTAGAACAAAATTAACAAGCAGCTAGAATTTAAACAGGTCTACAATCTCATTTTATGAAAGGTTGCCTCCAATTAGACTGCCACATTTACTAGAGAATCAACCAAATTATTATAAAATTAAATGGGCCGCTATTTAATAGCCTTAAAGTACCAGTGTTACATGGGTTCATCTAAAAATTGGTAGCCCTCGTTGGCAATTCAACTCTATGCTACAGTATTATGAAGAAAGTAAAGGAGCCAACTAAGCCATCACATTTACTAGAGAATCAAAAGCATATAACGAATCAAACTAGCTATAAATTAAATAGGTCTGTAGATACTAACCATATATTGCACCAAAAATTCAGATGCCTTCACGAAGGAAGTGCTCTCTAAAATGTAGAAAGAACAAGCATGAGAATTAAAACAATAATCAACAAAACAAGCTACAAATTCATTGGATTGCTAGTTACCCGCCTTTAAGCAAGGAGATCATGTTCATTCTTAAAAAACCAAGCCCCTCCATGAGCATTTTGGTAAAAAAAAAAGACCGCACCAGTGGAGAAAGAGGTGGGGAGATATGTTTCCTTGGATAGGCGTGCTTCGAATGTGACGGAGGAGGAAGATAGGGGTTGGGGTTTTATAACGTAGTTAGGACATTATTGGGTCGATTACAAACTGACAATGATATCGTGTTGTCATTGTCGGATCAAGACACAACACCGTATTGGCATATCATTGTCGAGTTGTGACCCTACAGTGATATCCACATATCATGTCGTTTCAAACGTATAACACCTGCTACCCCACCACTGTCGTATATGCTGGAGCCAGCAGTGATCCCGCTTCACTGCAGAGTTGTAAGTCTAGGATCCAGATAATGATATACCACTGTCGGATCATGACTCAAACCGACAATGAGTGAGCTTCACTGTCGGATATAGAGGATCCCAATTGATCATATGCTTACAAAACGGGCAGTGAAACAGGATCATTGCTAGCTCGGCACACCCAATAGCTATGGGCTGGCAGAAAATGTGTGTTCTACGGACTTGTATTTGCGTACTGATTTTTTAAGAAATATTTTACTTGTATGGCTGTGTTCGGCTGACATAAAAAAAAAACTGTAGCGGCTGAATTTTACTGTTTACGGCTGAATATGTGAGAGAAAAACACTGTTCCGGATGAAAAAAGAAACAGGTCAAGTCGGGTTTGGGGTCAGCCGAACAAGCCCTATACCGTATTGTGTGTCGGATTATTATACCGAAATTTCTTCACTAGTAATGTATTTATGTATTACATTTCTCAAATCCCTACCTAAGCGGTACAGAACCAGCCAAACGTGCGTGATAGGTTCGGATTCGAGCCCCCAAATCGAATACCATGATCTTATATTCATGCATAATAAAAGTAAATAAAAAAGAAAAAGAAATCAATCACTGTTAAGAGACTGCACTGTAGATACTACCGTTATGTAACCTGGTTGTGATTATTAAACTAAAAGATACAAAGATCAGGATACATTATGAAATTTCCATAATCTTACACTATATTATTAATACAAACTGTCATTAAAATTCTAGCCTGATTTATAATCTTTTTGTGCTCATATATAATTCTTTAAAAAAATAAAACGAGTCTGTAGATCTTTCGGTTTGACAAAAAAAAAATCTAATTTCTCTATCATCGTCCAAAAAAAAAAGAATTATTCGCACATGCATTGGCATCCATGCATGCGAACAATGGAAGGTTTGATCAGAATGAAGAAAAGCCTAACCCTAGCCTGCAATGCGATGACTCAGCTGCCATTTGTGCGGCTTCAGCCGTGGAGACATTGATGGCGCCATCCTCCTCCTGTAGGT